CACACACACACACACACACACACACACACACACACACACACACACACACACACACACACACACACACACACACACACACACACACCACACACACACACACACACACACACACACACACACACACACACACACACACACACACACACACACACACACACACACACACACACGCACACACACACACACACACACACACACACACACACACACACACACACACACACACACACACACACACACACACACACACACACACACACACACACACACACCCACCCACACACACACACACATGCACACACACATGCACATGCACATGCACACACACATCACACATGCACACATGCACATGCACACATGCACATGCACACACACACATGCACACACACACACACAAAGAACAACACATGTTTTGTTATGTTTTTTTTTGTTTTTCCCCCTCCCCTCCCCCTCGCTGGAAGGAGGAGACGACGAGGTATCGACGCGGTGGTGGTGTATGCTCTTTGGGCTCCCACCTGAACCACCGGGCCCACCGGTCCACGATCGGAAGCAGAGTCGAGCTCCCAGAGATCAGGTGATCGACGGCACTGGCCTCCGCGAGCAGCGCCCCGGCAAGCGCCGCCCGGGCCGCCATGGCCCTGCCTGGAGGCCCAGACACGCCCATGGGGATGCCGCCGCGCGCCTCCCGTCTGCGGCGGGGCCCGGGACTCGGATGGTCCGCCCGGCCCTTCGCATGAGAATGCGTAGGCTCGAAGCGGCTCTGGGTGGGCGCGGGAAGGACGTGACTAATGGCGGTGACGACGCCGACGAGACCGTGCTACGTCATGAAGGATGGGTCATGTCGCTATCGTGGCGTCAGTCGTCGACTGGAAGCAACGGGTACGGCTGGTATCAAAATACGAATCCTCGCCCACCAGATGACATTACCTTCAACTTGCTGAGCACCCACGCAATTTTGTCAACCGCCCTCGGCTGCTGGTTTGGGACCGGGGAAGCTCCGTGCGCGAGCCGATTCGTACCTCCATGGGCGTCGGCCATGGCCATGGCACATCCCGGAACTGCTTCCTCAAGCTATCAGACATTTGATCTATGCATGGTTGTGTCCGCCTCTATTGGGAACATTCTTCTAAGAACATGCCAGGTGTCCGGCCCACGTATCGACAAATCCGCCGACCCTGTCGGCGTGCGCGGGGGGGTTGTCTGTTCGAGTCGTCGTCTCCGTCAGTCGTCGTCTGCGTCGTTCCCTTTCCCTGCACCCTCCTCAAGCCTGTCAGCGAGACAAAAACCTCGCAATGTCGCAATCGAATCGAAGGGAAACCCCTTCCCTTGATCCCTTCTCCGCGCCGGGGGGGGGGGGCGGTCCCAGGGGAGGTCCCGGGGGGGGGGGGTCGCCACCCAAATGCGCTTTCTCCTCGCGCGGGGGGGGGGTCCTGGGAGGGGTCCTGGGAGGGGGGGGGTCAGATACGCATCCCCTCCTGGCCAAGCGTGTCCCAAGAGGCCCCCGAGACAGTCCAAGAGGGCTCCCAATCGCCAAACGACCGGTCCAAAACGCCTTCACGCTCCCAGACTGCCCAGGAGACCAACAAATATTCAAGAAGACCTCCAAAGGCACTCCCGAGAGGGCCCCAAGAGGCAAACATGATTGATTGTCCCTAGGGTTTTGACAGATTTGGCGTTCCCGCCCGATCCGCCTCCCGCCGCTCCAAGACGGCCGAAGAGGCCCTCAAGATCGCCCCGAACCTCGGCCCCGGGGGACCCCCAGGGAGCCCCAAGAGGTTCCCGGGATGCCCCAAGAAGCCCACAGGAGGCCGCCCGGGACACCCGAAATGGCCTCCCCGAGAGGCTCCCAAGAGGTTCCCAATAACCCCAAAATTCCCCCCCAGAGGCCCCCGGGAGCCTTCCCAATAGACCCCAAGAAACATCCCTGAGGACTCGGGCCCACGTCAGCGTCGTCGTCGTGGCCGCCGCCACCGCCGCCGTCGTCGTCAACGTCCCCCTTCAGGGTAGGCGGTACCGGCCGCAAGGCCTTCGCAATCGATGGACACCCCATCCAAACTCACACTTTTCAGCTTGATCATCCGCGCTTGACGCCTTGCATCGTTATCCACCGTGCTTGCACGGAATGAATCGACACTGGTATGGTAAACCGAAGTACAAACTACGCCTTTGGCGTGCGATGGCACTCCATTATTTATCGAGACTGTGAAGGGATAGGCGCACTATGAGGCATGGAATCAGGGACGCCATTGTGTAACTATGTTCTCCGTTAACCATATACAATAGTACCGCGTAACCGGGGCAGTCACATGTGAGTGGCTAAACGCAGATACAAACTGTAGCGGGCGCAGGCGTGACGGTTCTAACATGTCTTTTTCACAATAAAAGTGTAGGAGTCGAGGGTCGGGCCACGTCAAGCTTCGTTAAGTATCTCACACTGTATTAGCTGCGGCCGTACAGCGGGCATTTTAGCTACTCCAGGTGAGCAACGAGTCCACCCAAAAGTATTCAAGGATGTGAATGTACATTCGTGGCGTCCGAACAAAACTGCAGACACCGAATTCTGGACGAAACAACTAAAATGCCAGCGGTCAAGATGGCTTTCAATATGGAACCGAAAAAACATTAGCAAGGGAACGCCCATGACCGGGCAACATGCCGCCCCTCCGTCGGCCAGGTTCAAGACATGCTGCCTGTTTGACCCTGTACGGTACGCATCGCTTTACCTCACGCTTGCATAACTGACTACCCACCACTACTTGTCGGAGACAGTCGCGGTCGAGGCAGCTTTTAGGCTGTCCATCGGACGTCGCGCCGCGAGAATCACACTCTGTACACTATGCACGAAACCTCTCCCAACTATCTCCCGAATCCAACTGATGTGCCAGAGCAGGATACATGCAGCAGGTTTCATTAAATCCTTGCTGGGCAAGAACATGAAGACAGACACAGCATCAGAGGTAAGTACTGCGTTTATGCAAAGACCACCTATCTCTAAGACGGGGCTTTGAATTCGTGCAGCGTGACGACGGTTGGGTAGCAATGCTCCGAGATATGGGCTGCTGATCGTGTCTCCGCTGAATAGCTGGAACGTACTTGTAGTTGCTGTGGCTGGCAGTGCGCGTCTGTAAGGTGGGCAGTCGCTCTCCCACTAGGCGCGTGTCCACGCAGGACGAGTTCGACGCTTCCGACGCCGTGCCCATTGGCCTCGTCGTCGGCATCCCCAGTGAGGCGATGGTCGCTGGAGTCGCTATGCAGGTCCACTTCTCCCGTCGGAAATGGCGCTGGGCCGACGTGCTTATACATAGGTCGGTTCTTGGGCACGCTGTAGAGAGATCGCGCATGGCCTCAAATGTGCTTTGATAATCAAGGCGCACGCCATAGCTTCGCGCGAGCTGGTTCACCTATCTGACAAAGTTTTTCGTCGCCGTTTCCCCCGCCTCTGCCCCGGGTAGCTCTGAATGTTGCATGGGGCGAATCTGTTTAATATATTCATCCTGCTCGAGCGTGACTTCGCC